GAGAGAGAGAGAGAGAGAGAGAGAGAGAGAGAGAGAGAGAGAGAGAGAGAGAGAGAGAGCATAACTCACTTTCACTAAAATCAAAGAATTTTGTTACACTAAAAACTACTTACAAATGAAGTTAAGTTCTTCTTATATACTAACAGAACTAAAATTAAATGAAATTCAAATTCATCCTAAATATATCTTAATGAAAATGAATTATATCTAACAATAAAAGTATGATTATAAATCTTTTAAAAAGTTCTATAAAATCCAAACAAATTTTCATTACACTCGCCAGAATCAAACTCAAGGAATTAAAAAATTCAAAAATAAATACATATAAATTATTTTTTAAAAGATAATAACACAATGATTACTATATAGTCATCATTTCTTATTCAAAACCATTTTAAATACAAGTCTTAACATCAATTATAATCAGTTCTAAATCTTTAGTAAAATCATACAAATTAAATAATAAATAATAAACACAAACCAAAAATGTAACATTAAAATTGAATAATGGTAATAAAAATAATAATGCAAATAAAAATGAAAAATTCAACCATAATAACAAAATTAAATAAGAAGAACTAGTCCTACAATAAGGTAAGAAAGAAAATTGATCATGAAACATTAGAGTTTAAGGAAAAAAATGTTGTTTCATTGGTTCTACCAAATCAGTTGCATAGTGATTTCATGCAAAGAGGAAGAGTTAGGGTGTTGCTGAAAACAGAATGGAATTCTTTGTAATTCATCCATTTCATCCTGTAAAGATTCTCAATTTTGTTTTTTGTATTTTATTTTATGAAATTGATCTATTTTATATTATGTTTATGTTAATGGAAATAAAATAGATCTTTGAAAAGAAAAAACTGAAATAGATTTTCTGGCATGGTAAAACTGTCAACAATATCATAATGTATTAAGAAGTAGTTACTCTATGTTCCCTAAGGGGGGGCCATAGTTTCATGGACTGCAAATTTGTTTTAAGTATTTATATTTTATACTTCAGAAATTTTTTATTTTCAAAATTTTACACTTGATTTTTTTCTTTTTCTTTATTCTCATGTAATAGGATGAAAATAAGAGTAAGCGTTAATATTGTCTCACTTTTATTTATTTCAGACTTTTATTTTTTTATTTTAAATTTTAAATTAAACATGTTTTATAAAAAAATTTAAAATTGTAGTTCTAATATTTGAAAAGTTTGAAAGAGATGAGATGATAAGGGTGGAAAAACGGAATCCGTCTATCGAGATAATATTTACCTTCCATTTTATTTATTTTTTGCATAGATACTCACATGAATTTTTATATTTTCAAACTTAGAATGTGTTGGCACGAATATTTTTTAAAAAATAATTTTATATAAAATAATAAAATAATGTTAATCATTACTATATTTTTATTTTTTATATTATTATAATGAAAACTTAAAATATATTTGAAATTTATGTAAATCCTTTAAAATACTCAAAAAAAAATTTTCTTCAATACAAATTTTGAGTTACTCATTAATGAAAATTTTTCGTGTAATGAATAAAAGTAAACTCTCTAAAATCATTCTAATCAAAATCTTTCAATTCTTTCCATTCAATCCTTTCGATTTTTTAAAGTCAACTCTCTAAAATTCTTCCAACCAAAATCCTTCAATTATTTCCACTCAATCCTCTTCTCTTCCTTATTCTCGAAACTCCCAAACAGACCCTTAAAGTCGGATTGGTGTGTAAGAAGTTGAAAAGAGAAAAGTTATTGAAAAAGAAGTTGAGAAGAAGATAGAAACTTATCTGGTTCAATTTAGCAAAGAAATATAGAAATATGATTAAATTGAGGTGGGACCAACATAAATTAATCTTTCCAAGAAGAGAGTTTCAAAATTTTATAAAATTGAAATCAGAATAAAAAACAAATAAAATATATGTATTATATTGTATTCGGAGATTCATCCCTATATATTGAAAACATTTTTAAAAATTATTGAAAACATTTTTAAAATTTTTAAAATTTTACATTGTAACTAAGAATCATATAAGATGCCATAAAAAACCCTAAAAGCTCAAAGACATGTGCCATTTTTTGTTATTCCAATTGTATATTTCACGTTATATTAATATCTTTGCTACTTTGAGACTAAATAATATCACATCTAGAAAATTTACCTACTTGATTTATATGTTAATTTAAAATAAAATTTATAAATAATTAATATACATTAAAAAATTCAATCAATATATTTAATTAACTAACAAAAAGTTAATTAATAAAAATTATTGTGTATAATTTAAAAAATTAACGAGTCATTTTCTAATTTAGGGGCACATTTGTACTTTAAAAAATCATCAACACTTATTCTCTATTTCTCTTTTCTTCCTCTTTTACCAAACAATCCATCAAATCTAAATATTTTTCACATTTTTCTCTCTTTTCATACTCTCTCACCTATTTCTCTCTTCTCATTTTCCCTTCACAACCAAACACACCCTTAAAGAAACTGTTACAGGTTTTAAAAAAAAACATAATTTTAACAAGGTTCCGAAAAGCAAGCAAGAACATATAAAAATCAAGCATACAAGAAAATTTCTATTTTTTCTATGAACCTTGAGATTTGGAACTGTTTGTAACTGTTGTGTACAAAAACAAAGCTAAAAGTCTTCAATAGTTAGCATGGCTTCTAAAGCCACATAATGCATGTTTGGCATGCATAAAAAGTCTCTTCAGCCCATACTACAAAGATGTTCCTTCCAATCTTGACTTGGTATATCCCAGACTAATTAGTTTCTGTATCAATATTTTTTCAGCTTCTATCTGCAATCCATGAAAGTTGGAAATCAATATTGAATTTAAAGATGATGTGGAAAACCGATATTGAACTTAAAAATCAATACATGAGAACAGTGGTGAAAAATAAAGTAGTTCGGCGAGCAAGGCTCCCTATTGTGAGATCTGGGTGGAGTGAGATCAACTTTACAACAATTAAGTAAAGAGGTTATTTAATATTATACTAACTGCAAAAAATGAAAACTAACCATCAATTACAAGAGGTTGATTGCAGTTTACTGCCACAATATCTAATGCTAACTCGAGATACTAAGTAACAGCAGCACATGCCAAGCATACCATGAGGTGATTCTGAATGTATCATGGTCAAATATCTATATCGAGGAATGTTAGTAACACTCTTAAAACTCTCTCTCCAAAACTTACTCCATAAATGTGTGAAATTTCTGTAGATTCTACTAAATTAATAGGGTACCATTTCCAAACTGGTACGACCCACATAAACTTCACCTAATTCTGAAATACAATTGACTAATTGAATATGAGATGAAAATTATATATTTACACCTTGTGTGGATTATGATTTATAACCAAACCATTAAAACCATTTACAAATCCAATTATGAATCTGGTTTCAGTTCCCTAACCAGTTATTTCTCAAACCCGGTTAAAATTTGAATATTTCTCCAACCCGGATAAGAAATCAATTTTTTTAACAAATCCAGTCTTAAGAACCAGTTATCTAAAATCCAATTTCAAAAACCAGTTTTAGCATAGAATCCAATTTCAAAATTGAATTGAAATCTGGTTTTTGGAATAGAATCTCAGGCTTAGAAAAATCTTATGGGATATTCCATATTAATCCTGACTTGTTTGATAAACAAATTTGAGCAAGATTGGTATAAAAGGTTAATTAATTAAAATGATCAATCATTATAAAAATTATACAAACTGAAAAGTTGTATATGGACTATAGAGAATGTTCAAGTCACACTATGAATCACACAAACTGCAAGTTTAAATTTGGAAATTTTACATCCAAAGAGCAATGTTTGTAAAGTAATATTAGAGTAATAATGAAACCAATGAACTAGAATTATAGAATAACTAGAGTAATAAGGTGTCACTGAAAATTCAAAATAGAGTATAATTACTGCAGATGAAAAAGATATCATATCATAGTATTAGAAAAACATAATAAACCAAACATGATTCAAAGCAACAAGCCAATCCTCTACTATTTGGTGAAGCCACCTGACCAAGCTGTTGTAAGAAGGGCAGAGAAAGCACCGGAGAGGTTAACCGACTAAAGGTGCCTCAAACAGAAAGAATCATTGTTATGTGGAAAAAGACAGACGAGTGGCCACATTGCCAGGTTAACCTCTCGAGGCCCAGCCCAAATGCAAGGAATGGTTTTAGGAAACAGAAAGATAATATCATGGTTTCATGGAGCCAGATGCACTACACATAAGAGGCAGCTTAAAACAGTTGGCCAACTTGTGACATTAATCAGTAAGACCTATATTAGTGTGAATGTGCACAAGCTGGAAGTCTTGGTGTTGGCTTATTTCTGCTAATTTGACGCTCTATTGACCTAATTAAAAGGTTCAACATATTCACTAAGTTTCAAGAGGATCCCATCAAATGCCACTGCAATAGTTCCAATGTGTTTGGCAGCTTTCCTTTCAATATTTGGAGGAGCAGGTCTGAGAATTAACTCTAGTAGCAAGTGAAATTTAAAATTTGAAATAAAAATATAGCCAAAGTTTAGTATTTGTATATTCAGCTAGATTAGATAGTTGGTGCAGTTAGGCAAACTTGGGTATATTGCCTATAAGATATAAATAGGAAGAAGGGTGAGGGGAGTGACATTCATTTGGTAATTTAGTCCAGTACTAGGGAGAGATCAGATTCTCTCTCATTATCTAAACGTGTAGCATTCATTTCAATACATGACTCTTTCTTTTCTTCTTCTATACCATTTCATTCCTATCACCGAACATATAATTTTTTTCCAAATAAATCCTATAACATATGGAAGCAAGAAAACCATTTACAAGGAATAGAAACAACTTCACTAAACTAAGTGCCAAGAATGAGTGAGAGAGTGCATACCTCAACCATGGGACTATTTTTCGGAATATTACAAGCCATAATGATATTGAGACCAGTTTTCAACACTGTGATAGGAAATAAATAATGTTAAAATATGACCGAGAGGAATGATTTCTCAACATACAAAACAGCATAACAATTACCTACCTAATCGACGAGCAATACCAGAACCCGTATTATCAGAATTCCCTCCAAGTATAGAAGTTACAGAAACCACATTGTTCTGAAATTATTAACCAAACCAAATCACTATCCATACAAAAACACTCACAAAACCAACAATCATCTTTAAAAAATGTGAAAACTTACCGGTCTAGTTGAAGCTGCTGCATAAACTGATCCCAATTTCGCAGAGTTATAACCAATCCATACAAATATCTATCTATCACAAAAATCCATATTCAAAACAATTACTAAATTGAAGAAGTATTAAAAGACAACAACTTTTGTGTTATTGATTCAAACCCTAGTTTATGAATCTAAGGTTTGAAAAGGGAGAAACCTGTTTGGGAAAGCGAGTGATCTGAAAATGGAGGTTAGCATCGTTGACGAGTTGAGTGAAGCAAGTAAACTGCAATTCGCTCTGTGTATGTGCACCTTGCTCCTTTTCTTTCAGTGTAATTTCTTCAATTTCTCTCTCTAATTCTTCTGAATTCATTGAACCCTAAACCCTAATTTCTTCAACAGCTCAAGCTTTTGGCACTTCGCTTCTCACATGTTTGGGCAAAGTGAGATGAAGAATATATAGAAGACTAATAACTATAAATTGTTTTTAAATATTGTTATAACATTTCATTTATCTTTGAATTGACAAAAAAAATTTAATCTAAAAATATATTCTAATATTTATAGTATTAAATATCAAAGTAACTACAATATGAAAATAAACTAAAGGAATTTTAAATTCTAATTATGTTTACAACGAATTATTATATGAATTAATCACAGTAAATTCCGTCACATCATATTTTTATTTTTTTAAAGTGTTATGATTTGACACTTTAAAATAAATTGATTGAATATCTGTATAATATTTTTTTATACGGCATATTTTTAAACTCTAAATCAATATCGTAACAAATGATATAATCGGATTCAATTTTGTTTGAGTGGGTAAAGTAGTTCAACTAAGATGTTTTAGTTGATTTAAATATGTGCAAATTGCTTGTTTATGATTGAATTTCTAACAATATGTATAATAAATTTTAAGTATTAAAACATACTTTAAAAATACGATTTTTTTATTAATTTAATAAATAAATTAAATGATTTAATAATTTTTTTAATATTTTAAAAAATATTAGTTGTGGATTTGTATATGGTATCTTTTATTAACTTCATTTTAACTTATTTTACCTGCGATTTCTTTTACTTGAAAAGAAAATTTTATGGCAATATTTGTCTCGAAAGACCTTTTAAAAAAGGTAAAATTCCCCTTCTTTTTTTTTACCATTTTAGTTTTGAAGAAGTCTTTTAAAATCCTCAAAGTACAATTCAAATTATAATTTCCCTTAAGTATTTGTTAAGTGTTTGGATTCTAAAAACGAAAAACTGCATATAGTACGCAAAACCTAAAAGTAACATCACTACTTCTTGCAATCTTCAAAATTTTATCACGCTTGAGTACACTACATCCTTCAAGAGAGGTAATAATCGATTTTTGTCTCAAGCTTTGGTTCAACCTTCTTCTTTGTATTTTCTTTAGTGTTTTTCTCAAGTTTCTCAACTTTTGAACCTACTTCTTCTTCTTCTTCAAGATTATCCTTTTATAGCCTATTTACTTTTAGGGGTTCGCCTCAACATTGGATTATGAGACTCTTGATTGTGTTTTGATTTGGCCTATATAATTCAAAATATTCCTCTTTTTTATCCTTTCGTACCAGTACCGGGAGTAGTACACAACACATGCAGAAGACAACTTGTCTCTTAGCAAGTCTGTTGTACAGAGTGACAGGCAACGTGTAATTGTATGGACATTCAACTTTTGCAGAGTTTTGTCATGTAGTGACCATCCATATCCCTTTAACTTTCTAGCTCATCCTTTGCCTCCATCTTCACAATTTTGTCACATTGCTTATATCTTTGAGATTAACCACTCCTTTCAGCATCATTTGGCTAAAATGCTTTCTGGTTTGAGGTATGAAGTTCCCAGCACTGGAGCTTGTCACCAGAGTATTCCTACACATGCATAAAATACATAAAACACGCAAAAGGGCCTGACTATCTCATAAATAATAAGTCATTATAGGTCTTGGGTTAAATAAATCGAAGAGCCTTGTGGGTTATAATGGTCGCCCCTGGAGAGGTCTTGGGTTAAATAACTCAGAAAGCCCTGTGGGTTCTGGTGGCCACCCTTGTGGAGGTCTTGGGTTAAATAACTCGGAGAGCCTAGAGGGTTCCGGTGGTCGTCTCCTGTGGAAGTCTTTGGTTAAATAACTCAGAGAGTTTTGTGGGTTCTGGTGACTATCCTCAATGGAGGTCTTGGGTTAAATAACTCAGAGAGCCTAATGGATTATGGTGGTCGTACCCTATGGAGGTCTTGGGTTAGACAACTTGGAGAGGCTGGTGGGTTTGGAATCCTACTAAACTTTTGATATACACCCAATCATTTGAGATTTTACTCGTGGCATTAACCACTCAACCTAGATGTGTCTTTCATTATTATGCTTCTTCCAGCACTGGTAAACTTAAACGAAAAGAGAATTATGCACCGAAGTTCTCAACAAAAAAAGAAGATATAGACCATGCTTTAAACCTTGAGATATTAATCCTTGCAATTTCACTCAGTTCATTTGTAACAAACTCAATAGATAACTTCTTGCTAAAAATTTATAAGACTTAATTCCATATATTAATAACATGGACAATTTATCCAGGAGAATCACTTGAGAACCACTTGAGGGCCGCATATACTTATTCCTTCACGCCACTTTTTTTAGAGGTACAAAGTCCATCTTCAGCTTGCAGTAGTTTTTCCATATGCATAACATTTGAATAACAATTTGAAATTTATTTATTCTTTCATATTTAAAAATGTAGTATTTTGGATCTAACTCTAGTCTCGACAAGGGTAACTTCATGGTTTGGGTGGGATGCGCATGATGTAGTTGAAGTTTGTTATAACATATAATAGTCAAAGTTGTTCATGTATTTTATTATAAAGTAGTTATGAATGTTATGCATGATTGTTATCATCATACATGACATACATATACTAGTAGTCTATAAATAGGCCGTTCTTTCAAGTTATTGAGAGAGTTTGGTTGTTATTTTGTTTTGCTTATAATCATTAACTCCTAATGAGAAAATGAATGAATAACTGTTATAACCAACTCAGTTTTCTTCTCTCTTCTCTCTTTGTGAATTGAATTATTTTGCTTGTGTTTGTTCAAGAAACTCTCTCTTTCTCACAACATTGTCTCATTCTTGACAACGATTGCCACATCAAATTGGTGCGATGAGCGTGGATCAAGATGCCATCAACGAAGTATGAGATTGAGAAATTTATTAGAGTAAATGATTTCAGATTATGGCACTTGAAAATGTGAGCTCTTCTTGTTCAGTTGGGTTTGTTAGAAGCGTTGAAAGGATCAGAAAACATGGATGTTTCCCTAATGGAGAAAGAGAATACGAAGATGGTCATAAAATCTCACATTTCCATCATATTGAGCCTTGGGGATAAGGTTTTTCGACAGGTCTCGAAGGAGAAAACCGCAGCAGGTGTGTGGTTAAAACTTGAAGGTCTTTACATGACCAACTCCTTAGTAAATCGTCTTTACTTGAAGCAACCTCTATATTAATTCAAGATGAGTGAAGAGAAAGTCTTCACTGAGCAGCTGGATATGTTCAATAGACTAATTTTTGAACGTGAGAATATTGATGTTAGCATTGGTGATGAAGATCAAGCATTGTTGTTGTTGTGTACTTTACCATAATCTCATGCTCATTTAAAAGAAACTCTCTTATATTGAAGAGAGCCTCTGACCTTTGAATAAGTTCAATCTACCTTATACTTACAGGATTTGAACAAAATAAAGGAGCACAAGCCATCATCTCTTGGTGAAGTATTTCCCATAAAGGGAAAATTCTCAAAGAAAGATGGGGGTTTGAGAAGAAGAAAGGTAAAGATTATTCGAAGTCTTCTGGTGGTGATGCTCCTACAATTAGGTGTTATCATTGTAAGAATGAGGGACATACCAAATAAGTATTTCCTGAACATGTGAATAATCATGGGGGTAAGGATAATGGCAATGCAGCCATTGTCCAAGATGATTATGAATCATCTGGTGTCTTGGTGGTTTCGAGCAGTAATTATAGAAAGGAATGGATTATGGATTCAGGTTGCACTTGACACATGACTCCAAACAAAGACGTGTTTGAGGAATTGTGTGATCAAGATGGTGGATCAGTGTTGTTGAGAAATAATAAATCCTGCAAGATTGTAGGAATTGGATCTGTAAGATTTAAGTTTCATGATAAGTTAATAAAAATTTTGACTGGTGTCAGGTATGCACTTAATCTTAAGAGAAATTTTGATTTCTGTTGGTGAATTAGAAAAGAAAGGACATGTTTTCAGAGGAGAACAAGGTATCCTGAAAGTCATAAAGGGGTCGAAGTAAGTCCCGAGAGGTGTGAAGAAGCAAGTCTTGTATACCCTTGTGGCTGAGGCTGTAAGTGGATCAGAAGATTTTTCATCCACAAAGCCTGTGTCGAAGAAGAATCTAGGGCACATGAGACTGAGCCTTGTCACTGAAAGGGGTCTGGTCGAATTAGGGAAACAGAATATGCTAGGTGGTGACAAGGTCGAAAAGCTGGAGTTCTATGAACCATGTGTATTTGGAAAAGCTTGCAGGGTGAAGTTCAATAAAGGCAAACAAAGAACATATGAATTCACTGATTACATTTGATATTTTGGGGTCTACAAGAAGTCCTTCACACTCGAGAGAAATATATTTCCTATCCATAGTTGATGACTATTCACAGAAGTTGTGGATACTCACTTAAAAAACTAAGGATGAAACTTTTAAAAATTCCAAGAGTTAGAAGACTCTGGTTGAGAATCAGATTGACAGGAAAGTCAAAAGTTTGAGGCCTTAAAATGTTTAAGGGGCGTTTTAAAATAGACTCAAGTTGGGACACTTCAACGAGTCCCTCTCCCAAAAGTCGACGCTCTTTTTAACAGAAGTGACCACTAGAATAGAGTGTTACATAAAGGATGAAAAAAGCAATGTAAAAAAAGAAGGCATATAATGTTAAGAAGCGTATTACCAACACTCAAGACTCGCATCATGAGAGAAAGAGCAGTTACACTTTACCCATAGTGTACAAGACTACATTAAAAAAAAGTACAAGACTTACACCACACCAATATGATGTATATATGTTTGAGGATATTTCTAGAATACATTAGTAACTTATAGAAAGATATTACTTCTTAAATAGTGATGCATTTATCTAATAGCTTTTAGACTACTTTAGTATAATAATAATTTCGCATTTGTATTAGAAAATGTCATGAAAATTTTAAAATATGTAGTATAAGGAATATATCACCGACACATTGTGCACAACTATATTCCATCCAAACCCTTAGGTTCCATTTTTCTCATGAGAAACTCTTCTTCTTCACTAGGGTGCGCCGTCGACCATTATTAACCC